GTCTCTAGACGCAGGTGATCGCGCGTTGACGCGCGCTTTGATATTAATGTCCGTTTGCTGTGCAGTTGAGCGCGCGCTGTCATCGCGATCGCATGTAATTTTGTTAATTCGGAATTATATTTTGTTTTCGCATTTAAAATGAGTGAAATTGAAGATATTGACATCGACTTACTAATCGATGAAGTAGAAAAAAAGGCCAGCAATTTGGAATATAGGTTCGCCCTTTTGTAAAACGTTACGATGCGGGGCGGGGATTAAATTACGCGTTATTGTTAATATTTTTTTCGACTAACACCACATAATAGTAACTAAATAGTCACTAGGTGGTCTCGAAACGTTCTACCGAACTAGACTGACGAGTACTCTCGCAACACGCATTAGCGCTCATCATCTGAACTCTCTTCAAATTTGATGGCGCGTTGACGCGCGTTACATGTGAACATAGCCTTAATGTATATTTCTTTATTGACGTTTATAAGTGTACATTGTGTTATATGAATAAATGGGCGTGTTCGGCCGAAGTAAGTACTTACTAAATTTAGTAAGTCACTTACTATGCTTACAAAACTTTCGGCCGGGACACAAAATAAGTGCTAACGCAGTAAGTATGGCTTAATATACGACGCCATTTTGCTTATTGTTGATGTAAACAAAACGGACAATAAAATATCCAATAAAATATTTCTCATAAAATTATCCATTTGAAACTATTCACAGGTATTAAATTATATTCCTAAATTTAGTACTGTCAATTATATTCAGTCTATGAGGTTATGTACGGGATATGACATAAACCGGTGTTTTGTGTTATGTTAATAAGCCAGTAAGTCTGTCCTGGCCGAAAAGCGCTACAGTCAGCTTGTAAGACTTTAATTTTTTTATGCTTACTGGCTTACTAAGTTTAGTAAGTACTTACTTCGGCCGAACACGCCCAATGTTTTTTTGACTTTTGACTTTTATCCAGCCCGTTAGCCCCAATATAAAAAATTCCATGTAAACAGAATATGACATGAAAATTTCTTTATTTTTAATTATTTTGTTTAGTAATTTATTTACGAGCGTAAGTCCTTCAATAGCAATAATAAACACATTTGACTTAAGACTTACCATTCCCTTAAATAATTTAAGTCAAAGGACAATTTTAATATGTAGCTTTGTCTGCTACTTCAGTGCGTTCGTTCGTTGCAAGAGAATGTAATGTAATTAAATTAGTGACACACCTCAAAGGAGTCTTCAGTCTTCAACATACAAGAAAGCACGTACTAATAATATACAAGTATATATCGTGTCGTTTTTTTTAATATTGTCCTTAACACTGTTTCATTATATGTTTTAATTGCTTTGTTTAGTTCCAGTTTTACCTTAATATCTATATATCTTTAATGTATTTTTGCACTTCTTGCTTACGTTATCTAATTTTTTTTTCTCACAGTGCCTGGAAGATATCGCTCGATATCGCTCGATTTGGATTTGCAAAGAAAGTCGAACGAAAATGTTTCATATCAACGCTGCCTTAATGATGATTGAGTTTTAAGGAAAATTTAGAACAATTGGATTGTTAAGTTCGAAAATTTATTAAATTATTTGTAATTTGAATTTCATTTTCTGTGTATCGTTAACAATTTCCCAGTACTTCCTAAAACCTACCATTTAAGTTTCTTAAGTGAACCATTGAGAATAATGTACTTTTTTTTTAAGGATTTTATTTTATTCTATCATTCGCCATTAAGGTAGGACCTCAGGATTGAGAGGCTCGCTCACTAGGTCAACATAGCTGTCTTTATCACCAGGCGCTCAACTGATGTTAAGTGATACCCATAAACACTCACATTGCAAGAAGGCTCGCTAGTGCGTTGCCGGTATTTTAAGAAATATTTAACTAAATCAGATTTAAAGTATTTATGAACAGGTATCTCGCCCACGCGTGTAGACGCCACACAGTCTGAAGGTGAACCAGTGGTGATTATATGCACAAATTATGCGTAATTTATAAACCTGATACACTAGATCAGTTTAGAAATGAAAATAAGATATCATTTAGGGGCCTCATAGCCTAGCGGTCTTATTTAGTGGCAGCTAAGTGAGGGGTACCGGGTTCGATTCCCGGTTCGAGGGCAAGTTTTAATTTAATTTAAATTTGTTCTCGGCCTTTGGGAGCGTTGTGCGGTACCGGGCGAGTGCCTAAACCGTACATGGAGGACACGGTCGAATTTCTACTCACGAATTATAAAAAAATCCTATACTTGACGCTGGCTAATGCACAAATAGTGCCAGAGCCATAAAAAATAATAAATTGTGCGTGTACTAGGTGTACACACGTAAGAAGTGAAACTTCTTTATGATCTTATTTTTCGAAAAATGATCTACTATATGCAACTTTACAGAAATTCGTTAAATTAGATAAAGTTTAACAAAAGGCTTTTATTATCATAGACATGAATACAAATATTTCATTTTACCTTATTACTACGAAGATTATTATAGAATTTCATTAATTGTAATAGAATTATTACTATCATTAAAAAACGTGACGATTTGCTACAAAATTTCTCCCATACGTCGATAAAGAAGTTTCATTCCAACGCCGATAAAGAAGTTTGACTTCAAAAAGCAACATGGCGCGTAACCGAAAAATGTGACGCGTAACGAAAAAAATGTTAGACTAATTTTTTTTCCAACCTCGATAAAGAAGTTTCACTTCAAAAATAAAAGATATCATTTAATTGTCAGTGGACTTCAGACGCCAAGTAAACGAATGCTTCAAATTAAGGGCGTAGTAAGAGAACTGCCATTCAGGGGCCGTTCAAGTATTACGTAAGCAGATTAACTGCAACTTATCCCCCCTCCTCTTGTCAGAAAAAGTAAGCAAACATCTCTAAAATAATAGTACATAAACGTATTATTTTTTTTTTGTAGGAATCCTCGGAAATGCATTTCGTTTTCAAGCTTAGACAATGAAAATAATAAATAAAAAATAAAAAAAAACCCACTATGTGGAACCAGCTGCCCACAGCTGTATTTCCGAACCAATTCGGCTTAGAGTCCTTGAAGATTCTCAATTCTTAAAAGGCCGGCAACGCACTTGCGGGCCTTCTGGCAAAGTAAGTTTCCATGGGCGTCGGTATCACTTAACATCAGGTGAACCTCCTGCCGGTTTGCCTCCTATTACATATAAAAATATATGTGGGTAATATATCTAAAAAAGTAAACAATTACTATTGACGCAGTCACCAAATAAGAAAATTAAAGACCCCCTCCATCATATGCCCACTGTCCCTCACTCTTCGACTTAGGCTATGTTCAGATGGCAAAAACTTGACGCGGGTTTTCAAATCGCGCGACTAGACATTGTGGTATTTTCATATAACTGTTCACATGAGCGCGCGTCAACGCGCGTTAACGCGCGTCAACGCGGCGCTCAGAGAAAAAGTCTCTAGACGCAGGTGATCGCGCGTTGACGCGCGCTTTGATATTAATGTAATGTCCGTTTGCTGTTCAGATGAGCGCGCGCTTTCATCGCGATCGCATGTAATTTTGTTAATTTTCGTAATTATATTTTGTTCTCGCATTTAAAATGAGTGAAATTGAAGATATTGACATCGACTTACTAATCGATGAAGTAGAAAAAAGGCCAGCAAGTTGGAATATAGCAAATTTGTATAAAAAATATAATATAATTTGTATTTTTTTTTTCAAAATTGGATGAACCCAATGTGTACGTTTTCTTTTTCTATATTTTTCTTTATAATATAACCACAAAATAATAGCCTCTTCCACGTCCATTTTCTACGTTCTACCGAACTAGACTGACGAGTACTCTCGCAACGCGCGTTAGCGCTCATCATCTGAACGCTCTTCAAATTTGATCGCGCGTTGACGCGCGTTAACGCGCGTTACATGTGAACATAGCCTTAGGGTCCTTTCAGAACAGAGTATGTTCAAAAGTAATTAAAGTACTTATTTTCTGTAGCATTTTAATGTTCCGTGTCTCAACCGTTACATCATTATTTACAGTGCTATATACTTTTCTCGGCCGGCGGCTGAAATTGGTTCTACCGTCGCCATTTTAGTGTGTACAATAAATAATTTTACTATAGACCAACATTATATAAAAAACAAAATGTGTTTATTTTTATTCCTTGCAATATTACAATAGCTAAGTTTTAATTATCGAACGGTTCTGATTGCTAGATATCTTAAAAGATATTATATTAATAGTACAGGTAACAAAACCTACCATATCAGTTGTTCTTAAGTTTGTGTCACATTTATTTAAGCCTAGAACTGTATTTTCTAGTTATTTTACGGTTCCTGGATCATCAGGGGTTCGAAATAATAGAATAATTTTAACTTACTCTATATTTATCACTCGCGTTATACAATAGAATATGAGCGAAATAATAGTTATGTTAATTGCTATATAATGAGTGCAATCTAACAAACAGAGAGAGTGCCGACGTCTGGCTATGCTCCCGGGGTGAAACTCCTATGACTTAGTTAATTACGAATGACTGCTGTAACAGTCGAAGAGAGTGTCTGCGTCGGGCTATACTCTCGGGGCGTGACTCCGACGATTTAGGAAATCGTCATGCTTATAAGTGATCAAACTGTACAGCCAGGGTACGTAACTACATAAGAAATAGTTATGCTTGTAGATGATCGAAATGTACGAGCCTTGGCACGTACGTAGGGAATAATCACGATTATAAAACTAAGGAAGCCTGAGTGAGCAAAATGTACAGCCTTGGCTCGTACAGTTACATTATTTTATTAAGACATTTTAATAAATTATTAAGTTAGCCTGCATGACTTTAAATTATTCCCCTTTTTATGGTTAATTTTTATTTACTGGCAATACTAATATCCATCACAGCGACGCTCTTACCAGCCAAGAAAAGTATGTGGCACTGTATGTGATTCGCTTAGTAGCTCTAGCCAAAATCGAATTTTTCAAGCTGAATACAAATATGAAAGAACAGGATATAAGTAAACATTTAAAAATGGAACTTTGGAATGGGCGTGCCCGACACTTGTTATTGTTTTTAGTACGCAATGAACGGTAATATGAACAAAGAGTTCAAACGGAATATATCTTACGGTTCACAAAACAAGTTTGCATACCATATGTCGTGGGAACGTCATGTGCATTTTATGCAAGCTATTGGAGGGGAATCTTTATATATATAATTCTTCTGTGAGTGTGTATGTCACTGAACTTCTCTCAAACGACTGGACCGATTTTGATGAAATTTTTTGTGTGTGTTCAAGGGGATCTGGGAATGGTTTAGATTCACAAATCAGCCCGGCAGATGGCACTGCAGTCGGTACTTTCATACTTTGCTTAATATCCTAATCGCTTTAAATATCATGCAGGACAACGTCTGTGGGGTCCACTAGTAGCGATATATAATAGTCAATTAAGTTAGCTAAGTGATTTGTTGAAAGTCTTAATTTCAGTCGCACAGTATTTATTTTCATTAATTCTAGATTAATATTGATATAATGGAGCATTTATATGCAGTTGTATAATTTTAAAACGAGTTTTTAATAGGTCGACATACTAATAAGGAGTTTATCATATGGAGTTTATGTAATATGAATAAATTTGTCATATACTTATGACGAATGAAACTTCAATGTGTTGCTAAAATAATTGTAGATTTATTCTATTCCCCCCCCCCCCCCTCCTCTTGTCAGCAAAAGTAAACAAAGCTCTCAAAAATAATAGTACAAAAACGTATTATTTTTTTGTAGGAATCCTCGAAAATGCATTTAGTTTTCAAGCATAGACAATGAAAATAATAAATAGATAATAAAAACAAAACCCACTACTGCCCACAGCTGTATTTCGGAACCAATTTGGCTTAGAGTCCTTGAAAATTCTCAATTCTTAAAAGGCCGGCAACGCACTTGCGAGCCTTCTGGCAAAGTAAGTGTCCATGGGCGTCGGTATCACTTAACATCAGGTGAACCTCCTGCCGGTTTGCCTCCTATTATATACAAAAATATATATATATATCCCAGTTTAATAATCTTTGGTTCAATTAATCAGAGGAAATTAGTTTAAACCGTTTAGATAAGTTCCGCCCGATTTGCTTTGAATTAATATTGTATTCCGCCACGTTGGCCTAGTAAAATAGCGATTTATACAAATCTAAAACTTTAGATTTCCGAGACTTAGAGTGAAGGAAAAAGGAAGATATGTTAGGAATTTAATGAATTTAATTGTCATTAAAATATTAAGTGTCGAAAATTAATACAAATTATAAATTTAACTTTTTAATTTATTTCTTCGATATTTACATTATTCGACGCGATTTCTACTGGTATTGTTGTGACTAAAGCATTATGATAAGCAAAATATGCAATGTAAGTTCGTGTCATTATTATTATATCCTCTCGCTCTATGGCACTGTGCATAATGCGACGTTCGCTCTATCTCTCTCTCTCTCGATCTTTCTCACTTGCTTGCTCCCTACTCTCGCTCCATGGCTATTAGCTTCATGCTACGTTCGCCCTTTCTCACCCTCTCTAAATCGGTCTCAATCGCTCTCTCCCTTTTCTTCGACAAAAACGCTGCACATCATCGTGACGCTAATATTATTATTATTGCGTTTCATTCGTAAAAAAATTACCCTCATGCGCCTAAAGAAGTTTCAAAAATTGTATTTAAAAGATATATCGTTGTTCACAGATGTGGTCTTCATGCAGATTTCACTGAGCTGACAGCCTGCGTTGGTGGAGAACTTGACAGGCACGAAGGTTCTGCCGTCCACAGGCGTTATTTCTATATAACGCTCCTACGGGAGCCAGTGTCCAGGTGTGTTGTTGTATAAACTATTAATCTGTGAGCCATCAGCCATACTCTGTAAACCTTACTTTTTCTTCTTCTTTCTTTATTACCGTAACACATGACAGATGTTTTAGATTAAATAATAATCAATTATTTCGTGCGGCGATCTTCCTTGAGGTCGTAGGTTCCAGCCCCGGCTGTGTACCAATGGACTTTCTTTGTGCGCTTTTAACATTCGCTCGAATGGTGAAGCAAAACATCGTGAGAAACCCGGCTTGCCTTAGACCCAAAAAAGCGACATGTGTCAGGCACAGGAGGCTGATCACCTACTTGCCTATTACATTAACAAATGAAGAAACAGAAATCTGAGGCCCAAACCTTAAAAGGTTATTTATTGAAGCAGACAATCATAAGTCTATATATATTAGATTATAAAGTTAAAAAGGGCACATGCAGTACATTGGGGTCGTTCAAGTATTACGAATCAGCCCCCCCCCCTTTTAGCAAGCTCTCAAAATAATAGTACATAAATGTATTAATTTTTTGCAGGAATCCTAGAAAATGCATTTAGTTTTCAAGCATAGACAATGTGTGGGTAATATGTGTAAACAAGTAAATAATTACTGTTGACGTAATTACACCATGTCATGTATTTCATGTTTGGCTATATTTTTAGTATAATTATTAGTATTATATATAATTTATGTTAGCTATAGGTTATACGAATATTATGTAGATGACCTTGACACAATATTAACAGCTTGTCATGTCACTTTACGACCCTTGTCTAAATACACAATAAACTTCTAACTGAAATTCAATTATATCCTTTCAAAAGTTTAAACGTTTAAAATATGTCTGTATTATCAGCGCTACAACTCCTCAACTGGCAGCTACTAAGCCTTTTAACCTCAACAAATTAAATAAACAATATGGCGCTACAAACTAAAGGTTTCCATAGATTTCTGATCTATTTTGTGATCATTTATTTTTCTTAATAAGAAAAATCCTTCACAACTTCGATAGAAGGTCCATTGGTGCACGGCTGGGCATCGAACCTACGGCCTCAAATGAGAGCCGCATGCTGAAACAACAGTGCTCTTATCAACGTTATTATTTAAAAAAGAATTAAGCATTGAGCCAGTTCATTAAAGAACAAAGAGCGAGAAGAACTGCCCAAGAAACTCTATTAGGAACTGCAGTTCTACTTAAACAAAGAGTCATAAAACGCTTTGCCTCAGCCTATTTATGCAACTTATACAGCAGGCTGGGCGAAGTAGGAGCATCTTATTTAATAATGAAAGCTTGCCACCGCATCGGTACAAGAAATATAAAATTATTTTAATGTGAACTTACTTTTAAACATAATTACAAAAAAAAACTGAACGAAAATTGATTTTAAAGTGTGAGGGGAGCGACTATGGATATCCAGACCTTGCTGGCATAGCACCACTATTTCTAATTTTGTCTTTAACAATTCAGCTGTATGGATTGTTTCCAGGTATTTATCGGAATACCGGCACGTGAAGCGTGGAGCAACTTGGAAGGGCTCCCGCCACTGGTGCCAGGGAAGGACCGCTTCTGGTAAGAATTATTCTATGTATGATGACAAAATTATGTTGTAGCTATTGATAAATACAAATCACGAGTATCATGTTATCATAGCATTCTTTATTACATAGCTTTTGTATATACATCACCAAACCAGCTGCCCACTGAAGTATTTCCGAACCAATTCGACTTAGGGTCCTTCAAGAAAAAAGTGCACCAATTCTTAAAAGGAACTTGCTTTCTGGCAATGTGAGTGTCCATGGGCAGCGGTATCACTTAACATAAGATGAAAATCCTGTTACATAAAAAAATCGAATAAAAATAGATGAAAAATTAGTTTTTAAACTAAAATGTCATTTTTAACATACAAATAATGTATTTAAAAAAATAACGTTAATATTTTGTATATCTATCTATCATACTTATACATATCGGAAACGAGTCTCTTGTAAACATAGCATCCTCTATACGTATAGCTTTTGAAAATATATCTAAGATCAAATCTAATAAAAATGTATGAAAAAGTTTAAACTACAAAATCATATGTATTTTGCTTGAAATGTGGTAATAAACTATATTTTTAGCTACGTACACATGACGAAAAATGATGAGGGTAAATTTTTTCGATGCGCGCGCACATCGTCACAAAGACACCCTGTTACCAATAGTCAACATTTTAGTTTTTTTTGTTAGTGTCGTTTTTTCTAAAAACGTAGAATATTTTTGAAAAGATTTTCATGACTTGACTTAGTTACGCGAAAGAAGTATAACTTCTAACGCGTGTACGTAAGTACACGTTTTTTTATTTTATTTTTATTTCATTCAAAGTAGCGTTTGTGTTTTGGATGAGCTTATAAGCTAAGCAATAATGTTACACAGAAGGATAAAGACGCAAGGAAGAAGTGGCTATTTCTATTCTTCTAAAATAAGCCCGGCCAGTTTTCCCCCAGTTCTGAATCTTGTACCTAGTTTTAATTCCGGGTAAAAGTTAATATACATCATGGCTACTTGACTTGTCCTCTTTGTCCCCCATGTGGGGCAGAGGGCATCCAATACCCCTGATCAGTCTGACGTGTTTTGCCATCCAATATTCTAATAAATGTGTTAGAACGCGTCGTTCAATATTATATATTCAAAGCTTGTTAGTACAATGAGTATTACAGGAAGCGATATCGTCAACTACAAATTCTATTGTCTATGGTAATAGAATATGGAAACTGAAAGGGAAGTAATTATGTTAAGCTTGACATATGTATTTACAATAATACTGTGATAAAAAAAGGGAGCGTGTACTTATGTACGCGCGTAAGAAGTTATACTTCTTTGGCATTATTAAAAATTGTTTTTGATTGCATGCAAATAATTAATTACAATTAAATAATCAAAGACTGGAAAAGGAGTCATTATAGTCAATAAAGTTCAGTTTACATTTGAAAAATTAAATAAATATTTATTATTATTCTCTTACATTAAGTGTAACATAAATTCTATTATTATTCGAATGTTGTTTTTAAATTATGTCCAATGCCGTAGCATCTTCTGTGGGCAACTTCATTCTGTTAATTTTGTGTCACGGTGCGCGCGAATCGTAAAATTTCACTCTCATAAATTTTTCATAACGCGCCTAAAGAAGTATAACTTCAAAAATTACTTGGTGGATATTTTCAGCAACTCCATGGAAACCTTTCGCTGAATCATTTAGGAAATCTTGTAGTGTATATTTGCTATTATTATTGTCTTTATATAATTATGTATTTACATTGTATATTTGGCGGATTTACGAGTTATCAATACAAAGAGTCTCCTCGTGAGTTGTGTCGCCGAAACTGAAGCCTATATTGAAAGACGAATCGTAATATAAAAATGGTATCGAAAAATTGTATGAACTCTATAATCGTTCTCAAAGACTAATAATATGTAATATATAAAATTCTCGTGTCACAATGTTCGTTCCCATACTCCTCCGAAACGGCTCGACCGATTCTTATGAAAACTTTTATGCATATTCAGTAAGTCTGAGAATCTTTCAAACCCTTAAGTGATAAGGGCTGTCCACACCAAGTTTTAAAGCTATTGCATAGATTTTATCGCGGGCTTTGAACCCGGCGACCGAATCAAGAAATTCCGTAACGATATAAAACCTAACCTATTCCTAACACACGATGACGTAATATAGGTGCGACCAATACGCGTTAGAGCGGGACAGAACGCATACTGCGTCTCACATCGGTTTAGCGTGATCGGATAGGCGTGTTAGTCTGAGTCTGGTCATGGTAGATTGAATTAATAACAAAGAAAAAAAATACTGCAAAACTAAATAAATAATTATATTGCATAAGTTTATAAAAAATGCTATGCAATAACTTTACCGCGGCAGTCCCCGAGTGCCACACGTATTTTTTTTTTATTTGGTATTAAAAATATATACAATCCTTAATTTTCACCCCTCTATGATCAACCCCTATTTTAATTACAGTAGATAGTTATTTTTATAGAACTAAAAAATGTTTCCTAAAAATAATATACATGACAAAACAACCGTTGCCGGGTCAGCTAGTATTCAATATATCAAATCAATTTTTTTCAAAACAAATATTATTTCTATGTTAGCCAACGAACTTTTTGCCTACCTTCAAAATTAACTTTTATCCCACAGCATCGGAAGTACCCTCATGTTACAATGGCGATTCTTGGCGCGGTGTAACATTGGAAGAATTTACTGCCTGCTCGTGGAACTTGGCCAACAATCGACAAACAAGAATGTTGGCAGATTTGGCCCTCGTCGGATGTTACAATGGCACCCTGCGACATAGAACAGCTGATACGGATAGGGTCCTCCTGGCGTCCGCAAAACGAAATTTGGCTGCGATGGCCTATTTCGGCCTGACTGAGTTCCAGAAGGTATGTTTTTTAACTGGCTGTAGATTTAACTATATTTTTTTGTCGGCCGCAGTTTTGAAGCAAACATTTTTGACGTTTATTATATTTAAACATAAAACCATAACCACTTTAATAAAGTTTAAAACATATAATTCGTTCAGTAGTTTCGTGTTAATCTCGTTTATACACGGCTGGAGTACAACATTTAGTATGTAAGAATAGATAATTACACGGAAAATTTATACAAATTAAGTATTTATAGTTAAAAAATAAGTATTTATTCATAAAAAATAGTATTTAAAAAAAAATTATATGTAAAAAATTAAATAAATCAGTGGCGCTACAACCTCTTTAGGTCTTGGCCTCAGATTTCTAAATCTTTTTCATGATCATTTTTAAATCTAATAGGCAAGTACGTGGTCAGCCTCCAGTGCCTGACACACGCCGTCGACACGGGCTAAGACATGTCGGTTTTCTCACGGTGTTTTCATTCACCGTTCGAGCAAATGTTAAATGTGCACATAGAAATAAATTTCATTGGTGCACAGCCGGGGTTCGAACCTACGTCCTCCAGGTATGAAAGTCGCACGCTGTAGCCACTAGGCCAACACTTCTCAAAAAATGAATGGATATGATATAGTATCCGTATTTATTGATTTAAAACTTAGTATTTGTTTATTAAAAATAAATAAATATACGAATCAGACGGTTTTTCTGTTCTGTTAGTGTGAATTTCGCGAGCGATGTTATAGTACTAGGAACTAAAATAGACCAAATGCAGGAAGCACTGTTCAGCAATAGATTTTCGATTTTACAACGATAAGCTGTCATATATATCGCGTGGTTTCACATAACATATTATAGGATATACGAATATATAAGAAAGTAAATGGTCTCAGATTTCAGTTTTAATATAAGATGATAAGTGAATATTTATTTCTTGAGCGATTTATAAAATAAAAAATAAATAAAAATGTGTTTATTCATGTGACAACAATTCATTATAAAGTGTAAGTATTTGGGAACCCTTTTAAGGAAAAAATACCCATGTCAGGGTTCCTAGCTCTTCCATAAGAAACTTAATATATATAAATTACGTGTCACGTTGTTTGTCCGCTATGGACTCCTAAACTACCGAACCGATTTCAATCAAATTTGCACACCGTGCGCAGATTAATTCAATGGCATTACCACCAAAAAGCATGGTGGTCCCCATGACTGGTGTTCTCCTACCGTTTCCCTTGAATAGGTTACTACTATGTAATATTACTAAAACCTTAGCCACAGCAACGCTTGGCCGGTCTGCTAGTATTTATGCTTTTTTATTTATTTTTGTTTTTCCAACTGTTTTCAACACGCCTGAGTGCATGTGGGTGCTTGTTGGCGAATGTGTAAGTGTGTGGGAGCAAGTGAGTGAGTGAGTGAGTGAGTGAGTGAAATGTGTAACTACATATTAGGTCTCAGAAGCATCTCCAACACTGCGTAAGGTGTGTTCATAAGCCAGTCCTTTAATCTTATTTCTAGATTGTGGACGGTGAGCGGGTAGATATTAAGCAACCTATTTAATCTGTTGAAGATATGCTCCGCCTGCATATTGCGACTGGTGAAGTCAATCGTTACGGTCCAACGACAACATCCCTATTTTTTTTTTAGAAACAGCCATCCTACGGGAGCTCTCTGTGTGGTTTAATGTTTATATATTTTAATTTTTGTATTGTATGTTGTATATTCCTTGCCATTCCGATATATTAGTTGTATATTTGTGTACCAATGGACAGTGTTATCTAAATTTAAAATTCGTTAAAGTAATTTAATTCTTTTTTATCTGTTAGTTAACTTATAACTTGAACTCTGAGGTTTATATAGAGAAAAATCACAGGAAAACCTAAAAAGTTTTCATTCCAAAAAACCGTTCAGTCTCTGGAGTAGCATAGCAAAATGTTCCATGTGTATGTACTAAAAAGGCTAGGCATTAAGGAGAAACGAAGTTCGCGGGAGCAGCTAGTAAATAATGAAATAAATCTTGTAGTAATTTGTTATTATTTCCCTACAGATATCACAATACGTATTCGAAGAGACGTTCAATCTACGTTTTGCTGTTCCCTTCACGCAACACAACGCTACTGTTTCCGGCGCAACCCTCGCCGCGCTGTCGCCTGCGCAGGTCGCGCAGATCAAACAGCTAAACTCGCTGGATCTTGAGCTGTATGACTTCGCTAAGGGGCTCATGTTCAAAAGGTATTTTTATAACATTATTCATATACGTATATATATTATATTGACGAGTCATTGGTCTAGTGGTTAGTACCCCTGACTGCGAATCCATGGGTCCCGGGTTCGATCCCCGGCTGAGACGAACATCGATGTGATGAGCATTTGGTGTTGTGCTTAGGTCTTGGGTGTTTAAATATGTATTTATATGTATATCTATAATATGTATGTATATCCGTTGCCTAGTACCCATAACACAAGCTTCACCAGCTTAGCATGGGACTAGGTCAATTAGTGTGAATTGTTTTTAAAATATATATATACGTAATCAAGTACACTTATGAACGTCAATAGAAAATGATGTTAAATTAATTCTCTCATTTACTACCAGTTTGCAAGTCAAGGGCGTAGAGCGGGCAAGAAGAAGTGGCAAGAAACTTTCCGCCACTCTTTTTAATCGCCAAGTTTTGAGTCATACAAATTGTTTGAAAAGCAAATCTATCCCAAGGATTAGGATCATTTAAATAATCGTCAAATTTATAAGCTTTATTGATTAATTTACGTTTAACGAAAGCTTTGAATTTATTCGGTGATAATTCTCTAATATCGCTTGTTGTAAAAACGAATACAATTTCCATATAAGGAGTGGTTTATCTTCTGGAGCCTGGTTGGTCGTTCTCTTAGATTAGTTATGTTTCCAGTATTATACTGGTGAATGTCACCATTTGTATTATAATTTTTAACGCATTTAGGCCCATGTGTGTCATAGATAATAAAATATCATATCCGGAGTCCCTGGTCCTTTAGAAAAATAACTTGATACTGGTCTAAAAAGTTGTATGTAAAAAAATGTAATATTTCTTAACAATTATTATTATTTTTATTTTTTTTAAGCTATTGCATAGCTTCTATCGCGGGCCTTGAGCGTGGAGACCGAATCCAGAAATTCCGTAACGTAAATAACCTAACACACGATGACGTAACGTGACGTCTCACATGGGTGCAGCCGGTACGCGTTAGAGTGAGACAGACTATATAGGCGAGTTAGTCTGAGTCTGGTATAATAATAATAATAATAATAATAATAAAAGCCCTTTATTCACTGACCTTTTTAACTTACATGCTATTCTTATTTAACAGTAGCATTCTTAAATCTAATTTACATAGCGAAAATAATAATTTATTAGCAACCACTTTGGTCAGGTTCAAGCCTCCCCCAATCGTTTCCACATCTCTCTATCCTTGGCAGAGAGTCTGGTATAGTGGTAGATTGAATTAATATCAAAGAAAAAAAATACTGCATAAAAAAAAAAAAAATAATAATAATTGCATAACTTGATAAAAAATGCTATGCTTTACAGCGGCAGTGCCCGAGTGCCACACATTTTTTAATTAATTCTTTTACACACAAATCTTCCAAGACTTCTTTACATAAACTGTTAATTTTTATAATTATTTTTTTTTCTACTATTATTATTATTACATATTTTATTGCGTCTGAGGCAAAAACTAACTGTTGTAGTCTCTGGCAGAATGACCAGCGTTGTAGAACACCTCTGCTCCACAGCATAATGCTATGCCTGGGCCAGTTACAACCACAGCACACACATTACACACTTAAAATGAACCTTGTTCCATAAAATCTATTTTTATTATTTTTCTTTCCTTTTTATGCGTTTCTGTGTGTGTATTTCGTTGGTAATAAATTTTATGTCTATGTCTAATAATCAGAAATTCGATTAAAATTTAAATGTCTGTTGTGGGAAGCAGTTTTTACAAATTCTGTTTTATATAATCCACACTCTTTGCCAAGTTAATGACATTGGCACGTGCTCCAGCATACATGATCTTTTATGCTAATCACAAAAGGTGCAAGGTTATTATGAAGAGCTCACTGCTATAAAGAGCAATGTTGGCCTAGTGGCTTCAGAGCGCGTCTCTCATCTCACATATACAGCATATATACAGCTGGTATACATATAAATCTTCTGTGCATGTGTTTGTTATTAAACTCATAAACGGCTGGACAGATTTTGATGACTTTTTGTGTGTTCAAGTGGAGTCAAGAATGATTTACATTATTAGATACGTTTTTTTGTATGTACGAGTAAGACGTGTGTACAGGACAACGTTTGTCGGTTCCGAAAGTAGTTTCATAATATTAGGTCCTTACATATGAAATTGGCGTTTTTCGTACTGGCCACTTTAATCACGATGTTCTCCTCTTTGGTAAGGAATTCCAAATTTAAATTTGTACAGCTATTTACTCATGTATTTGTGCTTCGATGACCGGAATTCATTTGTTTTTTCTTCTGTTTTTTTCCGTTTGCGTCACTCATTTTACAAAATGGAAAACTTAAAGTATCGCATTATTTACGAGTACGAGTTCCGCCGTGGCACTAGTGCTGCAGAAACGACTCGAAGGGTGAATGATGTGTATGGCGGTCATGTTGCAAAAGAAAACACAGTTCGTTTTTGGTTCCAACGTTTTCGTTCTGGAAATTTCGACCTGCAGAACAAGCCCCGTGGACGGCCTGAGACCCAAGTTGATAATGAAGTATTGAAGGCTATTGTGGAAGCGGATCCATCGTAAACCACGTCCGAGTTAGCTACAGGCTGCGGTGTTAGTGATATAACTGTTTTAATTCACTTGAAGCAAATTGGGAAGATTAAAAAGCTTGAAAGATGGGTACCTCACGAATTGACTGAAGCAAACATCACTGAACCGGCACAATAATGAAGGTAATAATAATAATAATAAAAGCCCTTTATTCAATGAAGGTATTTTAAACCGAATCCATTACCTGTGATGTAAAATGGATTCTTTACGATAATCGGAAGCGCTCAGCGCAATGATTGGATCCTGGCCAGCCAGCCAAATCCTGCCCCAAGCGAAAATTTCTCAAATCTGGCCAGACTATTACGGCTGATGTCTTTTGTCAGCAATTGCAAACCATGATGGAAAAGCTAGCGGCTAAACAACCTAGGCTGGTCAATCGCTCCACGCCACTGCTACTTCACGACAACGCTAGACCACACACTGCACAACAGACGGCTACCAAATTAGAAGAGCTTCAATTGGAATGTCTAAGACATACTCCATACTCCCCGGACCTTGCTCCAACAGATTACCATTTTTTTCGAAATTTGGACAACTTCGTGCAAGGGAAAATATTAAACTCTGATGGGGCAGTCCAAATCGCCTTCACAGATTTTATTGATTCCCGTCCGACTGTTTTTTTAGTAAAGGGATCAATGAACTACCTATGAGATGGCAAGAGTGCATAGAAAACAATGGCTCATACTTTGATTAATTAAATATATTATAATTAAAAATATTCGACTTTTTGTTCCTCCCATACAAAACGCCAATTTCATATGTAAGGACCTAATATTTATAGTTGAAATTTTGACATACAATTCTCGACTCTAAATTTTACCCTAAGACAATTTTCTTGGGTATTTTGATGGAAGATACTAGTACATAATTAACACGAGTGAAACGCGGTTTAAATAAATTACGTCATTATAACCGTTATAATTAAAGGAAAAGGCGGCACTTACGCTTACGAGTATCTTTTGATGAAGATAAAATGTTGAAGCGATCCCCGTTTGATATCTTTGAATTCTTGATAATTACGTTCAATTAACAGAGTTCCATTGTTTAATGAACAAGTTAAAAACTGAACTTACTTAGGTCCTTTTATGGTTATACATGATCGTAATAAAGATATGAATACCGGTATTTTGTAACTCCAAATTGCCATTGTGATCTTCAGTTTGTTTTTGTATGCGATTCAAAGACGTCAGAGTTACAGATATTGAGAATACTGCATCGGTATTGCATACAAAAAAAGATGGAGTCTTTGTCATTATTTGAAGTTACCGGAGATGAGTAGAGAACATCCTAACGCAAATCTACAGTCGTTGCTCCCGATGTCAATTGTCAACTGTCACTAATGATGTCGATCTTTCAGATTCGAAGCTTTGCGTAAACGGGACAGCGATACTCTACAATCGTTGCTCCCGATGTCAACTGTCACTAAAGATGTAAATCTTTCAGATTCGAAGCGTTGCGAAAACGGGACAGCGATTTCGAGTTCCGCTGGCGACATCTTGGCGAAGTGGCGCCGCGTAGTGGAGTCACTGAATTTGATTGGGACAGCAATCTAGAAGATGGTACAACCGAAAAATACAAAGGCAAGTAAGGCCTTGGATTCTAGATTTTAAGTTAAATTTAAAATACCACCCTGTGAAGGATCGGCGAATAATTTGGCAATACAGTTTGGATGCGCAGGAGTTTTTTAGATTCTTTTGTTAATGTTCATTGCCAAGTTACGTGCCGACCTATTTCAAAATTCTGTATATATTAAAGATATACGCCACCATATTGTTAATGAACAAAATGTATATTAACAAGTGTCTTAGGTCCGTATTTCAAAGATCAGGTCTTGTTAGTAAGATCTATAGCTAATACGGGCCTGTGCAGTTTCTTTTGATGATTAGGCATGTTAGTCCCTATTTCTAAAACGTTAATTATGAGTCTAGTGATTTAACATCGACACTAGGATACGAATCAAAAATAGAAATTGGCTTGACTCCTGTTCATTATAATTGTATTTTTTTGACATTCTTCCCTTTTTTTCATTCTTGTTCTATTAATATTTTGCATTTTGTACGCAATCTAATATATTAAATTCTCGTGTCGCGGTGTTTGTAGTTAAACTCTTCCGAAAGGGCTTGACCGATTTTCATGAAATTTTGTGTGCATATTGGGTATGTCTGAGAATCGGACAACATCTATTTTTCAACCCCCTAAATGTTAAGGGTAGTCCACCCCTAAACTATTATTTTTTAATTTTTAGATTTTTTTTTATGCATTAAAAAATACATTTTTATTATAAACGATATACATGGCAAAACGACGTTTGCCAGGTCAGCTAGTTTATTATATATATTTAGAGTTAAAATTCTCGTTTCCGAATCGCACCCTAACAGCGTCGTGTCGTCCTCGTGTAATAGTGAGACATTTATGAATGTTTCAAAAGCAATTTCAATTACCTCTAAATATCGATTATAAACCCCTAAAGTGTTTGTTGCACTTGGTTTGAGAGGTAATTTCATATATGCATTAAAAATACATTCTCTCTTAAAACTGCTGTTATTTCGATTTAAGAGTAGGTATAGCCTTTTGATATTTCAGTTATAGCCACTTTTGGAGTTTATATTTGGTTTTGTTCAGTTGCATTCTAATATTTTAAAGAAATTAAATTTTTACTAAAGTTCTCCTTTGGGCATCTTGATTCCCCCTAAATTTGTTGTTGTTGGCATCACTGTTTATAGGGCCGTGGTGTTATCGTTTACAAAACATAGCAAATGCTTTTCTATCAAAATGATATATGTATACTTCACAAATAATGCATTTGACATCTTAAACATGTATTAGATTAACATACGGCCAGTCATATTTGTTTAGTGGCGATCCCATAAAGCTATTTAAAAGTCTCCAAACAATTTTCTAAATGTATAATTGCTGTATAAAAGCTGACCCGGCACACGTTGTTTTGCCATGTATATTATTTCTAGGAAACATTTTTTTAAATAATAAAAAATAGGGGTTGATCGTAGAGGAGTGACAATTAAGGGTATCATAAATATAAAAACAATTTTTTTTTTAAATTTTTTTTTGGCTTGTATACCCCTGATCACTTAGGGGTTTGAAAGATAGATAGTAGCCAATCAGACTTACTGAATATGCATAAAAAAATCATAAGAATCGGTCGAGCCGTTTCGGAGTATGGGAACGAACATTGTGACACGAGAATTTTATATATTAGATATTGTTGAAGGAACATTCAACACATGTTTTGATATAGAATTTGCAACTGGTGTCTATTAAGGTAACACGAAGAGTCTAGTCTCTCCTTTTGATTATATTCGTTATTGGTAGAAATGAAAACAAGGCAGCATTATTCGTAAGTAAAGTTCGTCTAGACTCTAGGCTAACGCCAAAATTTTTGGAAAGTTCTATATTATGCCATGCAACTTTACGACATACCATCATTATCAGCCAATTTTTTGGTCCATTTCTGGACGTAGGCCTCCTCCAGTACGCCCTGCACTGGCTTCTGCATTCACTGGTTCCTAACCTCCTTGGTTGTCAGTTCACCTAGTTTTGGTGGGCGTGGTCTTGTGGTCTCCATCATCGGACGTCAAGGCAGAATACAAAATACCATCCGTATCACCTAGACGTCCGTCGTTCCACAACTGAGTGATTTTTAAGGCATTTTCTGCCACTATGTAGCTGCCCACTGAAGTATTTCCGAACCAATTCGACTTAGGGTCCTTCAAGAAAAGAGCGTACCAATGCTTAAAAGGACGGCAGCGCGCTTGCGAGCCTTCTGGCAGTGCGAGTGTTCATGGGCGGCGGTATCACTTAACATCAGGTGAGCCTCCTGCCTCCTGTAACAAAAAAAGGAGCTACGGCATAATTTAGAACGAGTTCAAACGGGCCCTAGTATCGATTGTGTCAGAGCTTTTTTGTTGTATTTTATGAAAATTAGTTTGCTCTGAAGTAAGCAGCAATATCTTGTTGCTAACTTCAGTGTTGTAAAATTATGTACATATAGGTAAGTATTTATCTGCTATGATTCTTTTATTCAGGCATTTATTATGTTCTATGTTAGATTGCCCAGTTCTAGATGTCTATGGATCAAAATTTGGTTGTGTTTTGTATGTTTACCCACCGATTTTATTATATTCAGAACAAGTCATTAGAGTTTCATCATCGGACGTCGAGGCAGAATACAAATGCCAACTCGACGTCCTAGCGAGCGTTAAGGGAGTTTTTGCCGTACATTATGTGGAACCTGCCATCTGAAGTATTTCCAAACTAAACTTTTTCTACAAGGAAAGAGTGTACCAATTCTTAAAAGGCAACGCACTTGCGTGTCTTCCGGTGATTTGAGAGTACACTTAACATCAGATAAAGTTTGTTCTGCATTCTTGTTTTGGACATTTTTTTTAAACTTACATGTTAACTACGTTTTTTTTGTCCCGTATTTATAGTTTCTGAATATCGTTTAGATGCACTTTAAAAATTGCTAACTTATATCGATATTTTGATCGTAGACTTCCAATTGTAAATAATATTTGTATTTTTTTAATCTAGTTTATTAGCTAAGTAATGCGAGGTTGATGAATTTTGGTATAGATATAAAAACAATTATATGTTTGGTTTATATAATAAAATGTAAAAAATTTATTCTCAGTTTGTAACCAAAGAAAAAAATATTTTTAATTTTAAAACAATTAATTTGATCACCAGTTTTGTATTAAAAGTGTATAATTATAGGTTGTTACAAATGTATAATTAGATTTTTAAAGACAGATTAATAGTGTCCGCAAATTGCTAATGCGATGGAACCTTGTCATAGTGACATCAAAGTACTCCCAAGTCAGTAAATAGAAATATAATTTGTAATTAATAAAAATATGATTAACCGTTTTAGTTTAGCAAAAAACAAGGTTGTCTGTAAAGTCGGTTTACAGAGGATAGTTTAACGTGACAACGTCATAACAAAAAATTGATGAAATGACTTAAGTTTGTACATAAGTCTACGAGTGGAAGAGAGATGCGGCGCAAGCGTACAATGAACGTAATGGGACAATTGCATAACTTTTTTTTTTTTTAAACACAATTCACACCAATTGACCGAGTCCCATGCTAAGCTGGTGAAGCTTGTGTTATGGGTACTAGGCAACGGATATACATACATATTATAGATAGATAGACATATAAATACATATTTAAACACCCAAGACCTAAGCACAACACCAAATGCTCATCACATCGATGTTGGTCTCAGCCGGGGATCGAACCCGGGACCCATGGATTCGCAGTCAGGGGTACTAACCACTAGACCAATGAGTCGTCAATAATTAATACTACTCAATAATAATACTTTAGTTAATACTTTTATAAATAAAATTGAATCATTTTTATTGAATTATCACTATTTTGTTTTGATATAAAGAAGAGTGAATCCTCGGACGCATAGGCCAATCGAGTGAAAGAGAGATAGTTGTGGCACAAGCGTACAATCAGCGTAACGGGACAATGAGTCATGCTATTTTTGTTCATCGATTTATTAGACGTTGTCACGTCAAAAGTACATATCGACGTAGGAAAGCATATTTGCTGTAAGTAGACATATTGCAATTGTTCACCAGAGCCAAAAAACTTAATTAATTTCGGAAAAAAATTAATAGTGTCGAACCTATCCATGATATTGCTACCATTTTTTAAACATATATTTATTTAACTGCCAGTCACCATTTGCAATGTAAACTTTTTATCCAAAGTTACTATAAGTACGTGTTTGGCTACTTACAGCATACAGTTTTTTAAATCACAAACCTTTAAAACGCTGTAACTAAAGAAGAAAAATTTACGCGCGGAAATATTATCAATTTACTGGCGGTAAATATGCTGTATGCAGTAAATTTATGTATTTGGGTACTTTCAATTGCAATTCAAGATGTAAGATTAGTTTATAATTATGATTAGATCTAGAAATGCAGTGGGTCATTTGGTAATGTAATGTTTGGTTGAAATAAAATGTCGTAAATGGTAAAAAAAAACTAAAACTGTAGGTTCCCTAAGCTTGCTGTAAGTAAACGAATGTAAAAATCACACGCCGCAGAAATGCTGTAAGTAGCATTAAGTTTTTAAATGGGAAGAAGTAAGTATTTGTAAAGTAAAAAATGCAGATTTTCTTTTGCTGTAAGTAAAAATTGTCTAAAATGACTGGATTTTGGTCTACATACAGCATTTAATCTTACTAAAAAAATACAAGTACAGGCGTTTTCAACCGCGTATGTAATTTTTTTTCATCGTAGAGACACAGGACCCGGGACATTCGATGCGGTTTTTTTTTCTGATTCTAATGGCAGTAAAAAGTCACTTTAGGTATTTTGTCTACTTACAGCAAATATGCTTTCCTACGTCGATATATTGTTAGTCAAAAACAAAATAGTGTCCAGGCGCATTAGCAATTTGCGAGGTAATTACGTAATCAATAAATAATACAATATTTTATCTTTTAATCACGATTAAATATGAGAAAATTAAATACTATTGAATTATTTTTGTTAGTTGTTTTAGCTACTAGAAGTTTTATGTCTTAGTGTCTATGTCGCAGCCAAC